GTATTTGGGTCCCCAGCTTCGATGGTATCAACATCTCCTCCTTCCTTTAAACCCTAACCATTTTGAACCATATAAACCACAAATGTGTGATTCTATTTTTGCTTAAAGAAGATTTTCCTAATTAAAGCTCCCTAGAGCATTTTTTTCATAGACAAAGATTTCTAGATGATTCACCTTCGTCTATAGAAAAAACAAAGAGCCCTTAAAATTTTCAACTTAAGTCAAAGAGAAAGAAAGTTTGGAATAAAGAAAAACAAAGAACAAACTCACAAACACTCTAGCAATGATCTCTACCATAGTAGGTGGCAAAAACACTCACTCTCATGATGAAAAACGACTACTTACTGATCATCACATTGGTGACAATTGTACAATACTCATAAAGAGAGACCAATGCTTTGAGAGAGAGCAATTTTTGAATTTTGAAATTTAGTCTAGATGAATAAGGATATTTATCCACCTTAAAACCCTCTATTTCACTATCTAAACTCATCATTAAACTCCTTAATAATCCATACTGTAACCCATAAAAAATTCATCATCCACTCCATTTCTATCTTAGCCAAATCTCACGATCTTCATCTATAGTAGTTTTCAAAGTTGGTCAATAAGAAGAGCGTATAGGGATGCTAATGAGGAGTGGCTAAACTTGTATTCTCTTCTTAAGATGCATGGATAAACTCTCTTTGACCTCTTGAATTTGGAAAGTTTCTCTTATCCCTTATATCTTGTTTAATTCCTTGAGTTTTGATGCATGTGACATTGTAATGATGATGGTTGTTGGAATTGAATTTTATGATACTTGGTTGAATTTGTATGATATTATTATATTGTTTATTTTCTAATTGAGGTGTAGTCATAGTGATTTTGGTGCTATCCAAATCTAATTTTAATCAATCCCTTACTGCATTTAATTTTTAGTCACCTTTAGTAAGCTTGTGAGTCATGGTTATGCATTAAGCACACTTAGAGTTAGCTAGTCATTTTTCCTAATTAATTGAGGTCTCACTTGGTTAAGGCAAGGGCTGAAATTGGCAATTAACTTCATAGTCAATTGGATTTCTTTAAGCATAATTAGTTTTAAAGGTTAATTGAGGGTCCCAGTTAATCTAAAGAACCTAAGAGCATTAAGTCATAATGGTTACTAGAATGTATTTTAAACCAATTGAAGTTAAGAGGGAATTATTTAGATAGAGCAAGGATAAGAGGGAGTTTATGTGCCTAGGAAGATCATTGTTTTGCATTTTAGTCACATATTTCAACCATTTTTTAAATTTGTCCAAAATCTTAAAAATACAAAAAAATTAGTTTTCATTTAACCTTTGCCTGTTTAATGCCTAATCAATTAAACCAAATCAAATTATTACAGTTCTTGATAAATATAAATAATTAAGGTCTTAATTTTTAATCAATTTCGTAAGAGATTCGACCTAGGTTGCTCTCTATACATATTAGAGTATTTCTTAGTTTAATTTGAGTGCTTAAGTGATTAGTGCGTATCAACTACACTTTAGAGATTGGCGATTTAATAGGGTTATAGAATGACGCACCCTGGAATCAATGACCTAGGATCCTTAAAAGCTAGTGATCTAAGAACCAAAATATTCAAAGGTGATTTGGGAACCAAAATACCTAAAGAATCATATTCTAGAGATTGGTGCTTTAGTAGAGTCATAGAACCATACACTTTTGAAATCAATGACATTGGCTCCCTAAGAGCTAGTGATTTGGGAACCATAATACTTATAAGTAATATGGGAACTAGAATGTTAGGAGAATAATACTCTATAAATTGCACTCTAGAAGAGTTATGGATCCAATAAGAATAAGACCACATCCTTGTAAAACTGAAATGGAACCATACCCTTAAATTGAGAAATAATGGCAAACATTATACCAGATCTCAAGATTTGGAATGTGATACTATAAGTATAGTACACTTATAAACTTTGTTACAATCTAGAAACGAGTATGGTGAACAAAGCTCTAAGGTGCAGGATAACTTTCTAGCCATATATTAGAACCTTGAATAGATATTAGGAACTTCATAATGCAATATAGAGCATCAAGAAATGATCCAATATGCTCTAGGGCAATTCATCATGGTTATAAATGAGTATTGTAAATGTTCTAAGCAAGAGATCGATGTAATATAAAGCCAAGATCAATAAGTTTGAGACCTAGCTTTACTATGAATGCTTTAAAGAAGAAATGCTTGCAATAAAATGGAAAGCTTAATAAAGAAAAGAATCTCTTAAAAGTTATTGCAAATCCCTCAAGAGTATATTCATTAAGCTTGAGGGGCACTCTTCTGTTAGCTATAAGGATGAACTTTACGAGGACGATGAGTCACAAGTTAACTCATAACTGTTAGAACCAATTAGCATATCTGAAGAGCTTAGGGAGTACTCTTCTTATAGCTTCCATGATGAGCTTCAAGAGGATAATGAGCCAAAGGCCTATTCATAGCCTTTAGAACTAGTTATAGATGAAGAGCTTGATGGCAACTACCTAAGAGCACCTAACTATTTTGGGTTGATGAATCAGAGGCAAACTCCATGCCTTTGGGATCAAATAGAGAGCAAGATCCACACTCAGAGCTCTTCATTAAAAATGAGCCAGCTCCTTAAGTAGAACTTTCACATAAAACTTTGATAATAAAGAGCTGGCTCCTCAAGTTCCATGTCACATACATAAGGAATGCTTGGAGATAAAACAATTCAAATAACCATACAAATTTAGCCTATAACAAACTAGGCCAAATTCGTAGGTTGGAAGCTATTATTTAGGCTAAAATATGAGTTTTGCCCCAAACGTAACTATTTGGGTTAAAAAGTATAATTTTGGACCAAATCCATTTAGGTCTTTCAGAAGGAAGGAAATTATGGAAAGACTTGGTCAAACATGCATTACTTCAACAAGGAGGCAAAAGTGGAGAAACATGGAGAAAACTGCAATTAGTGGCTCTAAAAAGTGGAGTTTGAAGCCATGAAAAAACTACCATTTTGTGCTTATAATAGGAGAAGCCACCACACATATATATGGTTGACAAACATTGCTATACACAATCTCTCTTAACATTTCAAAAACTTAAACCCCAAAATCTATTTGCTTGGTACAAAAGCTATGACCCTGCATCATTTTTTATTTCATCCAATGTGACCTCTTTTATTCTTTAGTAAATTCAACATCTTGCCTTTATTGTGCCACACATTTAGTAGAGAGCACTAAAATTCTCTAGCAAATAATAGAGCACCAGCTCCTAAAAAAAGTAGTAATAGCATACTAATGCTTTTCCTTTGACATTATTTATTTTTTATAATTTTTTTTATCATTATCAATATCATGGTTACTCTTACCATGTAAGTCTTGCATGTTTCTTAATCTTTACTTTTTCATTCCCTTTATCTTTAAGCACTTGCATTTGTGAAAATTGTGGTAAAAGACTCCAAGAATTAATTTTTGATTTCAAAAGTCAGGTAAATCGTACCTTTTGAAAACACACTCCTCTGGCCTTCTCATGCAAAAAACAATGGAAACATCTTATTTGAATCTAAAGATTTTTTTAAGAAAATTTTTTGCCATAGATTTAAAAATATAATATCATTTTCACCCTCATTTTAAAGTGCTTTCTAAAGATGACGAGCTTATATGCTATTGGCGGTAAGCTTCTTATTAAGAAATTAAATGTGACAACCGATTAGCTCCTCTCCACCTAACCTTTGAGGTTTGAAGACATAATGTGAATCATGGTTTTAAAATATTAATTTAATGATAGTTAGGTTTTTAATTAAATTTTATAAAAAAATGATTTGTAAATATTAATTTAAATAATTAAAAATTGAAATTCACATTAAAAATTTAAATATACCTAATTTGTAATTAAGATTTTAAAATTTGAAACAAATATTTGCAAGGAAACTTAACTTTTGTTAAATTGACATTATCGTATCTATCTATCATTCTCCTTCACACACACACGTGCGCGCACATGCGCAAGCATGCATGTCCACACGAACACAAACATGCACGTGTGTGTATGCACACACTTTTTAAGGGTTTGGGTGGTAAAATGAGGGTTTAGAAGAGCACGTACACGTGCGCACATACACACTTTTTTAAGGGTTTAGGAATATTTTTATCTTTCAACTATTTGTTCACACACACACACTCACTCACACACACTTTTTTAAGGATTTAGGAGTATTTTACCTCTCAACAATTTGTTCAGTTTTTAAGGGTTAAGGAAAATTTTACCTCTCAACTGTTTGTTTAGAAGTATTTGATATTTTAAATTTTCATGTGGTACAATTCTCTCTTAAACATTTAAAAATAGTGGATTGAACACCTTACTATTAAAAAGTTAATTTTAAGTATTAGTTAATTAAAGAAATCACAATAAAAAAGATTATAAAAAGTTGAGCTACCAAATGTGTATATTGGTTTGCCTCCCTCAACACAAAGTTATCTATTAAGAAAACATTTAATTATATCAATGATTTAAAAACTAGATCAAATTGTCGACCGAAGCCGTTAATAGCTCAGTTTGACTAAAAGATTGTTTAGAAAGTTGGGCAGAATTAGACCGTTTTGGACCAACATTTGAATCAAGAATCAGGATCAAATTTGGAATTAAATTCGGTTCTCAAAAACTGAACTACTCAAAAAATGACCCCTTTTTTTGTTTTTAGAAAATGATCCTTTTTTTCAATTATTTAATATTATGTTGTATTATATGAATTGTTCAATCATGACAATCTTAAAAATTTGGTTTTATTTTTAAGTTAAATAACGATTTCATCTTTACTTCTTATATTTAAATTATTATATGTATATATAATTTTTTTAAATTTAATCATTGTATTAACGGTTCAATCATCGTTCCAACTCAATTATACAAACTTTGAAGTATTGGCATTTTTGATTCAATATGCGGCCCTATTTAAAAAACAATGAACTATATTAATGATATCTTTGAAGGGAGGGTTTTTGTCAACGCAAACCTTCGTCACCATCCCAATTGCCTTTGCATTGTCACAAAGGTCATCTAAATTTTGGAAGTATATAGACATAAGAAGCGCATACTAATTATGCAGCTAGATTCTGATTTCTGGGAGTAGTTGTAAAGTTGAAACCAAACATGGCAAAACTGTTTGAGAATCAGGCAAGGCAATATGCAGATTCAAGGCCAACTTACCCTTCCCAACTATTCCGCTTCGTCGCCTCCAGCACACCCTCTCATCATCTCGCTTGGGACGTCGGCACCGGCAACGGCCAGGCTGCCCAATCTGTGCGCTTGCTTCTCTTTTCCTCTCAAATAATTTTCCTCAAATTCCTCATTATTCGACTCTCTCTTCGTTTTTTTTTTTCCTGAATAGATTGATCGATTTAAACTGTTAATGGCTTAATCATGTTTTGAATCCCAATTGATTCCAGTTAGCGGAGATATACCAGAATGTGATCGGCACGGATACGAGTGAGAAGCAGCTTGAATTCGCAGTGAAGCTCCCAAATGTGAGATACAAGCACACACCTTCGACGCTGTCGATGATGGAGCTGGAACAGACCGTGGCGCCGGCGGGAACTGTCGACGTCCTAACCGTTGCTCAGGCCCTTCACTGGTTTGACCTCCCGATTTTCTACCGGCAAGTGAAATGGTTGCTCAAGAAGTCTCACGGAGTAATCGCTGCTTGGGGTTACAACGTGCCACGAGTCACCGACGATGTAGACAAGGTGTTCGACGAATTGTACGAAGTGAAACTGAGGCCTTATTGGGATCCACGGCTTGCAATGTGGGAAGATAATTACAGGAACATCGATTTTCCGTTTGAGCCGGTGGCCGGAGCGGATGATACGGGACCGATCGAGTATGTGATGGAGAAGGAGATGGATTTGGGGGCTTACTTGAGGTATGTAACATCTGTTTCACCGTATCAGACAGCGAAGGAGAAAGGAGCGGGAGTTCCATGGGAGGATTATATTGAAAGATTGAAGAGTGCTTGGATTGAAGATGGATCTCATACTAAGGTTGCCAGGTATCCTGTTTTCTCAGAATTGGAAAGGTTGGGGACGGCTGAAAGTTCCCAAAACTTAAACCTCAAAATCTTTTAGGAATTATTGTTAATTAAGAGTAAGATTTTTGCTTCTGTTGGGAAAAAGGAAAATAAAAAAAAAAAAAATTAGAAAGAAGACTATTTGCTTTGATCAAGTTCATAGTTCATTTCTGTGACTCATTAGTATGACTTTCTTGCTGCTACCAGAGTTGATACTTATAAAAAAATTATCGCTATTTAACTAATAGCTGTTATTGGTCATAATCAAAGTGTATAATCATTATATGAAAATTATTTAACATTAAACTCTAATATAATTTCAAAATACGAGCAATATGATAGTTTGATAGGGAAAATTCTTGTCAGAAAATGATACTCTAGTTTAATTAGCTCATCTTGTGGGGTTTATATGTCAATATTCTATTTTAGTGATCTTCATATCCCATTCTCCCTGTTAGTTTTCATGTTTGACATTGTTTCTTAAGTAAGTACTGTTGCTTGTCCTAAATATGTAACATTTCTAACTATATAATAGGAATTAGAGAGAGTTAATTAAATCATTAGAGTGGTATAAAATTGAAATAACTTTTTAAGTTTATGTCGATTTAAAAAACATGACTTAAACAAAAGGTGATTTTGAAAAAAAAAAAATTAATACTCTACCTCTTTATTTATTTTTCAAAAAGTAATTAATACTCTCTACAAATCACAATAGAAGATATCTTTTAAAAACTTTACTTGGTCTAAAATATATTTATTGAATAATTTTTATAATTATTTTTGCAACTATACATTTACGTCATTTTTTATTTTTTATTTTTGAAAAAAATGATATATTAAAATTTTAATCACTATTTTCAAGCTTTTTATATAGAAGTATTTAATTTTAATGAGGATATAATTGAAAAGATATAAAAAAATTTTAAGAAATTAAAGTTTTAACTAGTATTTTGTGAAAACCCTAAACTAGGTATCAATATCTTATATTTTGGTTAGGAGGGAATAATGAATAAACATTTGTTTTAAAAGTGAATAAAGGTAAAAAATGTTTTTATTTGTCTAAAGGCTTGTACTTCAGCCTCGGCCTATTAGCCCAGCCCGTCCTAGTGAGGTATCACGACTCAACCGATGAACCTCATGGACAAGGGGCATGCCAAAGCTGGAATGCAATAGCCGTTGGTAGAAAGCTCAAATATTTTCAATGTTTTAATAGAACAAGATTACTTTCGAACTTTTTTTTTTTTTAAGGCAAGTTACTATCAAAGACAGTTTTAGGATCAAGTTAAGATTTAAATGAACAAAATCCCAAGACTCAAATTGCAGCAAGGCCTTCCGGGAAGTTTCTCTCCGTACTTATAAGAGAGATTAACTTTTGTGCTGGACGAGCTTCTACATTTTTTAGCTATATTATGCCCTTGCTTCTCTGAGTTTCCAGAAATAGAAGAGAAGTTTAGCGGGATCACATTATAATTAAATTGCATCGAACAGAACAGGTTTCGCCTTATACAGAGAAGACCGAATTAACATATTACATGATAACTATGTAGATGATCAACAAACCATATCAAAATTATAATTTTAATCAATGCTACTTTGAGATAACTAGATTTCTAAATGAAGATGTCCATGTTGATTTGTAGGAGATGATAAGTTCAAATCATAAATAGTTTAGAGATATATAATATATGCAGGAAAAAAAAACAATAAATGATCAGATGCTTGCAAAATTTTTTTTCCATGGAAAGCCTTAATTTTTCCCTTTGATCAGAACATGGTCGATCAGTTTCTCCAAGTTGATAGAGGAAGAACCAGTTGGTGCTGTGGCTTCCTTTACAATTTTCTGCCACTGCAAGACGTTGTGTCTAATCTCCTTCCCCTTCTCTCCTTCCATAAACTCATTGATGACTCTCTCCACCACTTCTTTGTTCACATTTTTATCAATCTCAACCCCAATGCCCCATTCTACACAAGCATACCTGCAGTTAGTTTGTTGGTCTCCGAAGAAGGGCCAATAAGCCATTGGAATCCCTGCACACACACTCTCTATCAGAGTTCCATCCACAATGCGTTAAGAATCCTCCAATTGAAGGATGATTCAACTCTCTCTTGTTTACCCCAGTTAGCTATCAGGCCTCTTTCTTTCGTCTCACATAGAAACTCAGGAGATAGAATCATCGAGCCATCCTTCACAAGATCAAGCCTTGTGATCCACAAGAAGTATTTCTTGCTGTTGACTAATCCCCAAGCAAACTCATGCAGTTGTTCTGAAGTCATAACCATGATGCTTCCAAAATTAACATAAATTACAGATTTAAGTTTCTTGGATTCTAGCCATTGAATGCAATGAGTCTCCTATTTCCAAAGATAGGAACCACTGGATTCCAATTGGTTGGGTTTTAAAATTTGAGCGAGAAGCAAAGGGACAGGCCCTATGGTGTAAGTGGAGGGAAAATAGAAGATAAAGTGTTCAGTGCATCATTCTCCAACTCATTAAATGTGATGAATATGATGACATTAGCATTTTGGGTTGTTTGTAGCTCATTGATAATGAAGTTTGTAACTTCCTCAATTTTAAACCAGGTTAAATAAATCCAATCAAATTAATTCAGTGTATTAGTAAAGTATGTGGTTAGAAAGGCCTAACAGGTGGGTTTGGTTTCAATTTCAACCCTAAACGTGAGTCTGAAGGAGAATTGGATCACTCAAGAATAGAAGAGGAAGAAATTCTGAATGGGAGGTTCTATGCCACGCGCCACAGCTTGTGGATAAGCCGTCATGGTGCATGTGTGGTAACAAGCTTGGGAGGTGCTTTTTGTGTCATACACCGTAACATATTGTGCGTCCACCATAACGCGTGGTCATATTTTTGCTGTCATAAGTTTGTGAAATAAAGCAAAAAACAGAGGAAAAATAAAGGAATACGAGGGAGCAGTGGAAGAGCAGTGCTAGGGCTTGAAGAATCTGAATATTTAGAGTATTTTAGAACTCCTAAACAATAAAGGTAAGCTTCCTTATTTAAATCCTTCTCTCTTCTTCTATTTTTTTATTGGTAGAAGTTAAAATTTGGTTGATAATTGTAATTTTTGGTTCATAGAAGATATGGTTCTAAATCTATTAACTTAAATAAAATTAATTGGAGTAGATTGATCTAAGTAAACTTGGTATTTATGATTATATGGTAATTGGTAGTTGAAGGGTATTAAATATTCGAAAATTCTCATAAATGTGTTGGTTGAAAATAATGTAGTTCCACTAATGACCATTAAAGAACTCAATGATATTAATGAGGGTTAAAGGAAGCTAAGAAACTTTATGAATACTTTTACATGAGTTAAGAATGAATCTTAGGCATTAAAAAGTGTTAAATTATTAGTGAAAAATTAGCCCAAATGTAGATATTGATGAGTTGCATTGTAAATGTTTGTCGAGTGACTACACTTAGCACCATTCTAGCTTCTTGGAAGCTTTGGGAGTGAGTATGTAAAAGGTGAAACTTTTGACCTTTCAAATGTTTGAGGTAACTGAGGGATTCTATCTTATACTTTTGTGTGTTAATTAGTTTGTTGAATAAAATTTGATAATTAAATTATGTAAAATTGATTAAAATGTAAATGTGGCTTGCTTTGTTTGAAAAGCCCACTATGAAGTAGCGATTTAATGTAGTTCAATAATTTTGAAATTATGAAGTTCAATGATTGTCAAAGTGTGAGATACCATGATCGTGAAAATAAGAGTTTAATGATTTGAGTTGATAGGAGTTCAATAATTTTGAAATTTATGAAATTCAATGATTGTGAATGTATGAGGTACAATGACCTTTTTGATTTACAATTCAATGAAAATATGTTTAGAGAGTATAATGATTTCTTATCAATGATGTTTTATGAGTATATGTATTGTAGAAGTTCAATGAATTGCAAAATGCTGGAGTTCAATGAAACTATTTATGTGGAATTCTATGAAGTATGTTAAATGTGAATTATTGTATAAATATGCATTGCATGATCATGAGAGGTAAGAGTTTACCTAAGAAGATGAGTAAAGAATTAAATCTATGTGGTAAGGCTTCCATCCAAGTAGATGGCTTGTCCCATTGTTTATATATTCATCGTCCCATTTGTTCAATGAGGGATTGTTCCACTTGTTCAATAAGAAATTCGAACATAACTAGCTATCCACTAGTTCAATGAGAAAGGTAGTTTAGAAAGTATGACACCCTATAATGTGACAAAATGGGAGAAATCGTGTTTCACAAGTGAGTTGGGTGAGCCTTGGCTGGGTAATACTCTCACAAGTGTTTAGATTAGGGAAGTCATAGATTATAAACTATCCCATTGTGTTTATAGCCCACAATTTCATGTTAGAAGAACAAAAAAGATATAAGGGAGATGTGATTATGCATATAGTGAGCAAGGGCACATAGTTTTCTGTATTGTGACTTTAATGATGGATATCATGAATTGAGTCTTAATCACTCTTGAGTAGATGCCATTTGATAGTGTGACAAATTCTCTTCTACATGAAAGTTGTTAAAAAGCATTATTTCCTAAATATGTGCTATTATGCCTATAAATGTGAATTTATACTCTCAAATGTTTTATATGGTTTGGAGAATTGATTATATTTTTCACTTGTATTTAAATTAATTGATATGCATTAGTATAGGTTAGTTGGATCTTGATTATTAAGTGGTTATACTTACCCCATTATCTTCAATATTGCAAGAAATAGCTCAAGAGGATTGGATAGAGGAAAGCAACCGGAGGCTTAAAAATGGGATTCTATTTAGTAGGCCTCTTTATTTTTGAGTCGTTATGTGTATCTGACAATTGAAATTGTCAAATAGGATTAGTCCATTTTTGGTTCTTACTTGCATTATATAATTTTAAGATGTAAGTATATTTTGGACCCTAGGGAGTGAGTTTATAATATTTGATATTTGTAATAGGACCAAAATACTAATGCAAGTAAGGGTTAGGCATAATATGTGTTGATTATAAAATATTTGTTGAAAAGTGATTTGAACTCCCCCTTGTATGTTTTTGATGTTAAGGGGTTGAGTAGTGAAATTATAATCTACAAGTGTTTAATATGATATAATACATTGCACACACTTGTTTTGGTGTCTTACATGTAGTTTAAATAGTGTCATTGACTATTGACTTTTGGTAAATGAATTAGACACTTAGTTTTGCAAAAATTGTTGAAAAAGTGTGAATTTTGAAAAGAGTATTAAAATTTTGATTGTGTAATAATTTGGTTATGAAATCAAAGCTATTAAGTTAAAGCTCAAAAAGAACTTTTTGTAAACACTTAGTTTGCGTCAATTGGACGTCAGACAAAATAATGGGGGGCGTTGGAAGTTTTACCAAATGCTATCAAATTGATAGTAAAATTTGCTGTCACAAATCGTGCAATGCTCCACGACGCATGACATAGAGATGAACATGTCGTGGCACATGTTTAACAAGCTGCAAAGCATGCCCTAGTTTTTGCAGAATCACTTTGTTTTCCTAATTCTCTAGCAAATGCATTTATATTTGAAATGATCTCATTCTTTCGCATATTGATGAACTCTAATTTGTATATTTTAAAGACTTGAAAATGGTTTTAGTTTTGAACATTTAAGATCCCCACTTTTTCACCCATTTGTAACTTAGCATTATGTTAATTATCTTAATCCAATCTCTTTATTAACTGAGATTTGGAGCTAATTATGGCTTAGAAGGAGGGTGATATTACAAAGTTCCAAAAAATGCAATCACCTAGATTTAGCATACTTAAAAAGCTAGGAAGATCCCTGAATTTGATGTTTTTCATGCCTGTAAGCCAATTTAATGTGGTATCCAAGTACCCATTTCTGAAATAACTCTCAGCTGTATCGATGAATGGAGTCACCAAATGTTATCATCAACGATTCATCACTTTAAAAATAGTGTTAGTGTTAGGGTTTAGGGGATACCTTTCAAGGGAAAAACACCCTTATCAAGAAGAGTACGACCATGCCATGTGCCCAGGAAGGAAGCCGCACTAATAGGGCTATAGATAGCAATAGGATGTCCAAATTTTTGAGCAGCTTTCACACTGAAGGTCATGGCAATATCAGAAAGTAAGCAAGAAACAGGTGGCACATGGCTATTAGAAGCATACTCATGAAGCCTCACAAGAAGCTTTGTAAAAGGAAGGAGGCAATTCTTTGCTGTAGATTCACAAAGAGAAGGTATCTGTTGGGTAGCATTAGCATCACAAGGAGAAAGGCCATCAGGGATGGTATCGAAGTGAAAATCTGAGAGGCCATCAAGGGATTGAGGACCTCTTGAATTGAGCAAGTGTCTCTGATTGTACTTGGTGTTAACGTATGTTATGTGAAAGCCTCTCGAATGAAGAACTTCGGCATAGTTCATGAGGCTGATCAGATGGCTTTGAGCAGGAAATGGAGTAATAACAACATGGGGTCTTGAATTTGATCCTCCTCCAAGAATATAATCCATGGTCTAGTTGAAATATGTCGCTCTATTTATGTCTCTTGAAACGCCTCGTTAAATGGGTAAAGCTGTACTTGCAATAGGTCATGGGGAATTGAGTGTGTGGGCGAAAATTATAGTTGGGATGAGGCTAACGTTTTGAATATTCTATCCACACAAAAACCTAATCTTCTAGTGCCCCAGGGAAATACGAAATTTTTGTTACTCATTTCACAAGCCATGAATGAGATGAAAATTAAAAGAATTGAAACTTTTTCCTCAACAAACAATACCCCAATAAAACCAGAATAGGAGATGAAAGTTGACATCACACAAAATATATATCGTTGTGAATTTTTAGGTGACACAATCTCTTGTATCTTATTTATAAGTTAGTTTTAGCATATTTTACTGATTTAGAATTAAGAAAACTTTTAAAACTTATTATAACTCTCTAAAAAATTATTAAGCTTTTAAATTAATCCTTATTAATATACATAATTTAACAATGTATTTTTTATTATCAATATTTAATAGGATAAAGTGAGAATTGATAATAAAAACTCAATAACATATCATATACTCCTTCAGTTCAAAAATGTAATGTATTTTTTGAGAAGTTATATGTTTAAAAATATAAATTATTTTTAATCTTTTGAAGTGTAATCATTATCTTTTTTTTTAAATGTTTTTATTAATAAATGATGTTATATTTATTGTAAGGTATTTAATAAGAAAGTGATAAATAATGAAAAAGGGGGACGGCATGGGAGAGGAAGAAGATGATGAATAATAGAAAAAGAGGAAGGGCATGTTTTTTTTTAATGTAAATTTGAATCAGATTCAACAGTCAATAACATATCACCCACTGTTGAAATCCAACTTTCAACACATCACCTGTTGTTGAATATAAAATTTTTTTATTTTTTTAAATTTTAGCTTTCAACAGCGAGTGGCTTCACCGGCTATTGAAAGTAAAATTTTTTTATTTTTTTTAATTCATCCTTTCAATAGTAGTTGGCTTACACTATTGTTAAAAGTTGCAATTTTTTTATTTTTTTTATATTGTTACTTTCAACGAGGGGTGGCTCTCACCTGCTATTGAAAGCCACTCATTGTTGAAAGTGGCAATTATTTATTTGTTTTCAAAAAAATTTTCACTTTCAACAACGGGTGACATGTCACCCATGTTGAAAGTCTTATATCGACTTTTAATATTACAAAAGTACCACTTTCTTTACTTTCAAGAAGGGGTGCATTGTAACCGATGTTAATAGTTTCTTGTAAAATACAAATTTTGCACTAATGATTGCCTATAATGAGAGGACACTTGTACATTATAAAAAAAAAAACCATGCATTATCCATTATTACTATCATGCTCAAGAAGTGGGAATGAGTAGGCTTTGATGATAAAAAATTATATTTCTTTCAAGATGTTAAGAATATTGGATAGACCTCTCACATTTAAATATTGTTATATAAACAAAGTTAGGATTTGAACTCATAACCGCTTGCTTAAATAAATGTAGCTTGCTTAAATAAAGATAGCCTCTACTACTTACAATAATTTTAGTTGGTATCAGATTTTGCTAAATAATAGGTCTTAAGAATGCTTGTAAAAAAAAAAAAAGTTCGAAGAATAAAGATTAGTTGGAATAGTGGCTCACCTAAGATCTTGGACCGGTGGGGTTTAAATTATAAAAAGCATATAAATTGAGAAGAAATCTAAAATTGACTTAAGGGGGTTCAAAATTAGAGGTATGGCTTGTGCAAATATTCAAAACTTATCATTCTTATTTGTTAATTTCCTCACAGCCAATGTTAATTTCTTCAAAGTCAATGGGGACAATTGCCCCGTGAAAAAACAGGCAGGTCCGTCGTTGGTTAGAACCAAATCAAACCATCCAAGTAAATCATGTATGTCACTAAAAAATAAAATAGATTTAGGAATGTATATTATTTATACATAGTCAACAATATAACTTGTTTCTCAAACTTCATACGACACTTGAGTCTAATTATAATAAAAAGGTATATGATTTTTTTAAAAAATAATTAAATATGAAAAAAAAGATGTGGATGAAACCTTGATGAAAATAACATTTTTGGCAAGACTTATATCCTTAATCTTATATATTTAATATATTTTTATCTAAACAAATCAAGACAAGCAAATTTTAATGTGTTAATAATATCAAGGAAAAAAACAATATCGGTTCCTATAGTTTTATTGGGTTTTTCTTTTAGTCTTTATAGTTTTTTTTTAATGTTTTTAATTCTTATAATTTTAGTAAGATTAGGTTTTTTTCGTTCCTATAAAAACTGAAAATATTAAAAAAATTATGAGGACTAAAAGTAACAACAACAACAACAACAACAACAAGCCTTTATCCCACTAGGTGGGGTCGGCTACATGGATTGCAAGACGCCATTGTGCTCTATCATTTATTAAGCTTTTAGAAATATTATTAATTAAGAGATCACGTTCAACAACTTCCAAGAGTGTTCTCTTAGGCCTTCCTCTACCTCTCTTAATCGGACTCAAAGTTATATGTTCCACTCTTCTCACTGGTGCCTCCCTTGGTCTTCTTTGTACATGCCCAAACCATCTCAACCGATTTTCTACCATTTTTTCCTCAATAGGTGCCACCCTCACTTTTTCACGTATGTGCTCATTTCGAATTTTATCTTTACGTGTATGTCCGCACATCCATCGTAACATTCTCATCTCTGCTACTCCAACTTTATGCTCTTGCTGTCCCGTTAGAGCCCAGCATTCACTACTATATAACATTGCCGGTCTGATAGCAGTACGATAAAACTTTCCTTTAAACCCTAAACCCTAAACCCTAAACCCTAAACCCTAAACCCTAAACCCTAAACCCTAAACCCTAAACCCTAAACCCTAAACCCTAAACCCTAAACCCTAAACCCTAAACCCTATAATTAAAGTAACATTCAATAAAAACTATAAGGATCAATAATTATTTTTTTTAATATTAATAATAAGAGTTTGCCATATAATAAATATAAGATGATTATGAAGCTTTCCAGAACATTTGCAGAAGGAGAAAAATATAGGATCCCTCTGTTCAGCAAACCGACACTGATGGGCAACTCGAAAGGCATGTTTGAGAATTAAAAGATGATTCTTTGCTCATTTACATTAATTAGAAGTTATCCCCATTGATAGGAATTTTCTTTAATATGTGCAATCATTAAACAATTGGCATACTTCGAGAAAAATTATAAATTTAAGAGAAAAAGTAAATTGGTTTTCTGCCTTTTTTTTTTTTGGGGGCCTACTGGGGTTTTACATTTAGGACCAAAATAACTAAAACGCCAGCAATGCAATTGCCTTTAATGAGAAGATAATTGTGGGTAACAAAAAAAAAATTTTTTTTCCTTATACACATGATATTTGACACGAGATATCTTAAACACATTTGAAACATCTCAATAAAATATTTTACCTCATCAAATAATAATCATTAACTTGTTACAAGTTTCCATGTTCAAACGACAGCTTAGTTTTTTGTTTTGATCAGCACATCCTTTATCAAATTCTCCAAGTTGATGTAGGAAGAACCACCAGGTTTTGTGTCGTCCTCGGCAATTTTCTTCCACTTTGAAATATTTTGTCTCATCTGCTTCCCCTTCTCTCCTTCCATCAACTCATTAACAAGCTTCTCCACGTCTTCCTTTTTCACATTATTATCAATCTCAAGTCCTATTTCCCACTCTCTGCACGCATACCTACAATTCGTTGGTTGATCTCCAGACCAAGGCCAACATGCCATTGGAACACCTGCACCGATACTCTCTATCATGGAGTTCCACCCACAATGTGTCAAGAAGCCCCCTATAGATGGGTGATTCAAGACTTTTTCTTGTTCACACCAGTTTGCTATGAAGCCTCTATCCTTAATTTTTGTGAAAAACTCAGGCGATAGAATAATTGAGCCTCCTTTCACTAGGTCAGGACGTATGATCCACAGGAAGGGTTTCTTGCTATTGGCTAAACCCCAAGCAAACTCGCCTAATTGTTCTAGAGACAAAGTTGCAAGGCTTCCAAAATTCACATAAATAACAGATTCAGGTTCATAGGATTCTAGCCAATCAAGGCATTTAGTCTCTTCTTTCCACATATTAGAGCCAATAGATTCCATATGGTGGTTGTGTGGGATTTGATTGAGAAGCATAGGGAGAGGGCCAATGGAGTAAAGAGGAGGGAAGATAGAGGATAGGGCGCTGAGAGCATCACTATCCAACTCCTCAAATGTGTTGAAAATAATTGCTTGAGCTGTTTGCGCTTTTTGTAACTCAGCTATAAGGAAGTTTAGCAAAAAATTATTTGAATCAGTTACCCTCACAAAACTTGGAAGATCTTTTAGTCTGACATTTTTCATTCCAGGAACCCAGTCTAGTTCAGTATCCAAATATCCATTTGTCAAATAACTCTCATCTACACCAAAAAATTGATCACTATAAGTTGTTGAAGATCTGTTCCTTCAAATGAACGGATACCAAGAAAGACACATATAAACACAAAAGAAATAGTGATATAAATTTAACAAGGTACCTTTCAAGGGAATGACATCTTTATCAAGAAGAGTGCGAAAGTGAAAAATACCCAAAAAGGAAACAGTACTAGCCGGCCAATAGATAGCAATTGGAAGTCCAAATTCTTGAGCAGCAGTCATTGTGAAGGTCATGACACCATCAGAAATCAAGCAAGTAACTCGTGGCACAACACTATTCAAAGCAAGCTCATGAAGCCTCCCGAGAAGCTTTGTGAAAGGAACAAGACTGTTTTTTGGCATAGAATCACATAGAATACGAAATCGTTGGGAAACATTAGCTTCATCAGAAGGAGCAAGACCATCAGGGATGGTTTCAAAGCAAAAATCTGGGAGGCCATCAAGGGCATGAGGACCTCTTGAGTTGAGTAAGCGCTTGTGGTTGTAATCAGTGTTGACAAACGTTATGTGAAAGCCTTTAGAATGAATCACTTTGGCAAGTTTCAAGAAGGAATTTATGTGGCCTTGCAATGGAAATGGGGTGATTACAACATAGGGTTTTGATCCTCCTGCTGCAATCGACGCCATGCTTGTATATTCAAGGCTTTGTTTGAAGCTGATGCTGCAGATTTGGCGATAAGTATTTGAAGTTTCAAAGAAGGGCTCCTCGGTCTTTAAATCATTCACAAAAAGTATAAGTCCACATTGCTGACTTTTCCAAAGTGGGTTTAGGTTTTTCTCATCTGGAATACTATGCGTGAAAGATAAGTCTTGAAAAGTCGCGTTTCTATTCATCAGCAATGGACAAAGATAACTCATAATCAATCAAACTTTTCTCTTTTGATATTAAAGCTGTCCGTACATGCTGTATTTGCTTTCTTCTGTGTCTTGCGAGGAAATTTAAGAGTTCTGAAACAATTTGGCTTTGGATTTGTGTTCAGAGCTTTTGACAAACGATGGAAATGGTTTGGTATGAATTTATACATTTGTCGGTTGCTCAAGAGAGAGAGACCAAATTAAACTTGATACTACCAGGTTTTACGTACTTTATACAGCATGCTAAATAAGTCCTAAGAATAAAGATCAGTTATAACTTTAAGAACCAAATCAAATATCAATATAAAATAAAATAAATTTCAGAAGTTAGTGTAACGTAACAATCATTAGGTGTTATCATAATTGTAAATCTATCGAGTTAACTCTATGAATTTAATATTTTTATCTTTTCAGCTTATAAAATTATGTTAACTCACTCATAAACTCAAATTAAATATAAAGTTAATTAAATTTATGAGTTTACTATTTTTATATTTTTAACTTACAAAATTGTGTTAACTAATTTATAAATTCAAATTAAAGCTGGTCAAATTTGTTAAGCTCGTCACTTTTTTTTTTTTTTGAATTGAGCAAGTTAAGTATATATTATAGAGAATTCAGTTCATAAAAAGTTATAAGATTTGGTTCAAACAAAAAAAAAATTCAAATGCAAAAACTAATATTAATAAAAAAAGAAAACCAAAATTACCAAAAATAAGTTCCCCCATTTTAAATTTTTTATGTTTTGTATATGATAATTGATCAATGTAGATGGGTTAAATTTCAATGATTTATATTTTTAATATATTTAAATTAAATTACAATCATATTTTAATGGTTATTTATTAATAGAGGTAAAAACTTACAAGTTTATGATTTAAGTTTGCGATTCGAGTTTACATTTCTGTTATGAGTTTGTTCAAACTCACGAGTTTAACAATTGTGAGTGTTATAATTTTTCACATTCCCATAACATTTGGTGGGATCCAAGATAGGTAGAGAATAATATAGAAGATAAATTTTTATTAAAATATGAAATCAGAATCTATCTTCATAAATTAATAAAAATGAAAGAAAATTTTTAATAGAAGATGAGGAAGAATTTTAAACTCATACAACTAATAAAGCTAAAGGAAAATCTCCATTTATAAAGATAATGATTTTATTTCCATATGCTTTCTACATGATATGTGCTTCACTATATATAGACAGAAAAATAACTAATAATTCCTAAAAATATTCCCTTTAATCTATAACTAAGATAATGGGAAATAACTACCTGAAAAATAAATAAATAAATATAAATTCTGACTTAATTTCTAAATACCATAACCCACAACTCCTAAACTTAATGACCATTCAACAAAATAGAAAAACAATCTAAAAATATTATTAAACAGGTAATATATCTAAAATAACTTGAAAATAATAATTGTTCCTCATATCTCTCTAACTCTCCCGCATCACTTGTTATCCCATATTAATCAATGCTCTATCAACACCTTAGTTTTTTGTTTTGATCAGCACATCCTTAATCAAATTCTCCAAGTTGATGTAGGAAGTACCACCCGGTTTAGTGTCCTCCTCTGCTATTTTCTTCCACTCTAAAATCTTTTGTCTCATCTTCTTCCCCTTCTCTCCTTCCATCAACTCATTCACAAGCACCTCCACCTCTTCTTTCTTCACATTATTATCAATCTCAAGCCCTATTTCCCACTCCTTGCAAGCATACCTACAATTTGTTTGCTGATCTCCAACCCAAGGCCAACATACCATAGGAACACCTACACAAATGCGTTCCATCATGGAGTTCCACCCGCAATGTGTTAAGAAGCCTCCAATAGACGGATGGTTCAACACCTTTTCTTGTTCACACCAGCTGGCTATGAAACCTCTATCCTTAGTCTCTCTTAGAAACTCAGGCGATAGAATTATTGAGCCTCCTTCCACAAGGTTTGGTCTTATGATCCACAAGAAGTGTTTCCTGCTATTGGCTAAACCCCAAGCAAACTCCTACAATTGTTCTGGAGACATAATCACGATGCTTCCAAAATTCACATAAACCACAGATTTAGGTGCCTTGGCTTCTAGCCAATCGAGGCACTGAGTCTCTTCTTTCCAGAGATTGGAGCCAATGGATTCCAATTGGTGGTTATGTGGGATTTGAGTGAGCAGTAAAGAGAGAGGGCCAATAGAGTAAAGAGGAGGAAAGATAGAGGATAGGGTATTAAGGGCATCACTCTCCAACTCCTTGAATGTGTTGAAAATGATTGCTTGAGCTTTCTGGGCTCTTTGTAGCTCAGTGATAAGGAAGTTTAGCATGAAATCACTTGAATCTATTACCCTAACAAAACTTTGGAATATCTTTTAGTCTAACATTTTTCATTCCATGAAGCCAATCTAATTCAGTATCCAAGCATCCATTTGTCATGTGACTCTCATCTACACCAATACAATGATCACAATAAGTAGTTGAAGATCTAATTACTTCAAACAAATGGACCATAGACAAAAGAATATAAGTAGTGACATAAGCAAGCTAAGATACCTTTTAGGGGAATGACACCATTATCAAGAAGAGTACGAAAGTGAAAAGCAACCAAAAAGGAAACAGTGCTGGCAGGCCAATAGAGAGCAATAGGAAGTCCAAATTCTTGAGCAGCATTCATTGTGAACGTCATGATCCCATCAGAAATCAAGCAAGTGACTCGAGGCACAACACCATCAGAAGCAAGCTTATGAAGCCTTGCGAGAAGCTTTTATTTTGCATAGAATCACATAAATAATGAAATCGTTGGGCATCATTATCATTAGCATCAGAAGGAGGAAGAGCATCAGGGATGGTTTCAAAGCGAAAATCTGGGAGGCCATGAAGGGCTTGAAGACCTCTTGAATTGAGCAAGCGCTTATGGTTGAACTCGGTGTTGACATATGTTATGTGAAAGCCTTTAGAATGAAGCACTTTGGCAAGTTTCAAGAAGGAATTTATATGGCCTTGTAAAGGAAATGGGGTGATTACAGCATGGGGTTTTGATCCTCCTCCGGCAACCGACGCCATGCTTGTGTCTTCAAGGCTTTGTTTGAAGCTGAGGCTGCGGATTAGGCGATAAGTAAGTGAAATTTCAGAAGGGTTCATCGATCTTTATATATAGCATTAAAAAAAAAAAAAAAAACAGAGAGAGAGAGAGGCTATTATATTAGTCCACAATATATACAGAGGTTTTCAAAGTTGGCAGGTTTTGTCTCATCTGGAATAGTACATGTGAAAGAATAGAATTTGATAGATGAGCGGAGAAAAGTCGTGTTTTACGTATTCGTCAGGATCGGTCAAAGACGATCGATGATTCATAATATTGGGTGAAGCCAACTTAGGTTTCAATATCATCAAGCAAATTTTTTCCCCCGCTTGATAGTCAAGCGGTCAAAACAATGGTCGTATATACTGTATTTGCTTTCTTTTGCGCGGAAATTTAATGCTTGCTAATTGGCTCACAAAGCAAAAATAGAAAGGAGAGATGTGAAGAGAGAAAACAGAAAGAAAAAAAGAGTAGATGAATGTAATTTTCTAGAAGAAATAGGAAGAAGAATTTTTTTTAATTTCATATACACAATAATAATCTTGTTATTTATAAAAAAATATTTATATATATTAAAAAAATATAACTGTAAATTTCAATTTTGTTCAATTTTAATTTTTATTTCTTAAATTAATAAATATATAATAATTTAAATTTTAAAGTTGAAGAAAAATTAGGATGAAAATGGATGGAAACAATAGTGAACAACAAAATTTATGGATAAATTTAAAAATTAAATTTTCTCTTCAAAATCTTCACATATCTAGAAAAAAAAAATATTTAAAATAAAAATATATAATCTTATATATTATTTTCTTCTCAATTTCATCTTCTTTTAATTTTTTTTCTCCTTTCATTTTCCCCCCTTTTTCCTCCCCAATACCTTGCGCGGCTGTCTTGGAAGTTTGTGTCCAAAACTTTCCAGCTTTCAATGGTTTGGTTCGTTGAATTTATTAACATCACATCCCCAAAGGGGATGAGGCTTGCATAAAGGCACGCATGAGCAATTTAAAAAAAAGAAAGAAAGAAAGAAAGATTTTTTTAAAATATCTAAAAATAGTGGGACTTAAATTTAAAGAAAATTTCAGTAAAGGACCTTAATAAGAGATAATAAAAAAGAGGGCCCTCAAATTTTTAAAATTTTACTAAAGGATTCTTATGGAATTTTGTTTCAATTTATGATAGAAATGACAAAATTATTCTCATTTAAATAAACAACATAAATAATTTATTTATTCTTATACTGTCTGTTATTTGTTTACTTATGGAATATTATTTATTTTTTTATTTCACTTGTTTATAACTTTAATTTTACTTAATTTCATTTTAAGTGATGGTTTTATGATGAGACGACTTATTCGTTCTCATATTGTATGTTGTTCATTTGTTTATGAAATGTTATTCATTTCCCTACTTTACTTGTTTATGACATTGAAATAAAATTAAGTGAAAGTAAGATTGTAAACAAGTGAGATAGGAAAACGAACAATATTTTGTAGATAAATAAACAATATATAATAAGAAAACAAATAAGTTATTTATGTTATTCATTTAAATGAGGGCAATTTTATCATTTTCATTGCAAATTTGAAAGAAATTCTGTGTGAATCTTTCAGTAAAATTTTAAAAATTTAAAATTTTTTTTTATTATCTCTGATCAAGGGCCCTCACCAAAATTTTTTTTTAAATTTAATTTAATTTAGATTATTTGGAAAGATAAGAGTCGTTGAGAGAAGCCTTCTCTACCTCTCCTTTGAAGCAGAGAAAAATCTGGACCGTCTAAATTTAATAATTTTATTTTTATTTTTTCTTTATATTTTTAAATTATAAAAATTTTAAATTTTTTTAATAAATATACTAATTAATCTGAAAGTCTATATTTAATATAGATGCTTTAAATTTAATATAAAAAATTTAAATTAACTTTTCAGATATATTCTATGAACAGTGTAAATATATTCTGAACAAAACAATAAATTTATTAAAATAATTTAAAATTAAATTTAAATTATTTATATTAAATTTGGACTGTGAGATTAATAAATATATTTATTAAAATTTTTTTAAAATTTTTATATATTTTTTAATTTAAAAATATAAATAAAAAATAAAAATAAAAATATTAAATTTGAATTGTTGAGGTTAAATCTGGGTGCAGATTTTCCTCTGCCTCTTGAGGCAGAGGAGGAGAAGCCGACTCCGGAAAGATAACCGGGGACCGGGTTAAAAAGTAAAAGAGGAAAACGGCGGGGCTCACGCTCGCCCACACTTACTCAAACCGTGTTCTCTCTTCTTTTCCTCTCTTCGGCGCCCCCTCCTCTCTGCCTCCCCCACCTCCATCGTCATATCTGTGTCCTCTTCGGAGCCCCTTCTCCGGTAGAAACCACCTTGGGCATCGGTTGCTTTGGTCGGTGCTGGAGGCAACGTGGCTATGGGTCGTGAAAATTGGGAGAAACTGATTCAAGCGACGTTGAAGAGGGAGCAGCTGAGAACCGCCGGCCAAGATCGTGGGACCAAAACCCCAAATTCCCAATCAACGGCGTCGTGCAAAGGTCAGAAAACATTGATCTGTTCTACTAGTCAACTTTTCTCAACTTCTCTGGTGATCCTAAACCCTTAAAAATGCCACATTACGCCGCCCCGGCAACTGAGTTGAAGTCTGAGAATGTGGCAGTTTTGGCGAAGGTGGATGGAACGGAGGAGAATTAATTGGCTCATGGGTACGATTTTCAGGGATTCCCCACTGTCTACTTATTCGTCGATGGGGTTCACGGGTCTCATACTGGTCAGAGAATCAGGCAAGTCTGTTCAATTGGAAAAGAAGTGTCTTTAATAGTTAACTTTCTTTGATATCTTGTTTGCCTTGATTCTTTTCTCCAGACACTGCTTTGTTGTCAGTGATATTGTCTCGCACGCAATATTAGTGCATACTTAGTTCTGTTCCCCCTGCTGCTTATCTACCTGTTTAATGGCTTGTATTAGTGCTGCTTGTTGTTGGTAGCCTTGAACTTCATCTTCGGGAACGCTGTTTCTCTCTTTCCCTTTAGTGTTGATGGAGGAACGGGTAGAAATTTAGCAGTTACTGGACTGAGAATCTAATTTGATTAGTATATGAACTTGTAACCGTTATTATTGTTAAAAACCTCGTATCAGCTGGGATTATTTTATTCTTGTTGTGTGTCTTCTTCCTTTTTGTCTCATTATCATTGAATATATTATCTCCATAAAATTTAGAGCTGTAATATGGGTTCCCCTAACTCGCAAAATTGTGGCGGGTTGGGTTGGAGAAAACGGTTGATTTAAACGCAGGGCCAGTTTTGGCCGCACCGCATAACTTGGACCATTTTGATATATATTTTTAATATGCCCAATGAGAATCCTAAAATCAAAAAAGTTATTATTTACATGCATAGCTTAAGAAAAATCGGAAGTAGCCAGTTTCATTTGACTGGAGTAGATGTGCGAGTAAATCAATTACCTTGTCGGTAAAAAAAAAAAAAAAAAAATCAAATACCTTGATTCCTTTTTATCTGTTTGAAGTTGAGTTGTTAAAATATTACTCCTTGATTTTATCGTCTACATTAAATATTTTAAAGCCTAAGAAAATTCGATTGGAATTAAGAGGCTCCAGTTGAAGAGAATTCGTGAATTTCAGATGATACCTTTAAATATAAAAGAGACATTATTATTATATTTATATTTTATTAATTAGCGTCTATATGCTAAAAATAATTAATACTGAATTTGTAATTTTTAAAATTGAAAAAAATTATAAAAAATTATGTTTTATTGGTGGGTTAGTCCACCAATCCATCATCCCACTGCGAGTTGGCAGGTTGGCAGAAATACAACCCAGAAGAATGCGGGTTATGCTAGCCTGTCCTGCCAAACTTGCTCCAAGTCAGCCTGCAATCTGTGGGCTAGTCCATATTACCAGCCCTTAAAATTAATTAATTTTTGTTTTGGAGTGTAAAATTAGTTATTTTTAAATTTACGATGCAGGTCATACGATGCTTTGCAAGGAAGCCTGTCACAACTCAGTTGATCCCAGCCCTTGGTGTCATTACCATCTTCCGAAGCTTCATCTGGGTCATCTGGTTCCATTTATGTTTACAAAGAAAGTAGAGTTTGTGTTCGGCAGTTATGAGAGAAAAAATCAATCAGTATATAGAGATATAATTCAATTGATCCTGTAACAAAGAGAAACGGAAGTTTGTAAATTAGCATATACTTTTCAAATTTTTTGACTGAAGAAAATGAAGAATTACGTTAAACCGTTCTGGTTTTAAAAGGTGTTAACGTTGTTGAAAGTGTGTCTAGGTATTTGCAAGATGCTTTTAAGGTTCCTCTCATTATACAACTCACGGATGATGAGAAGTTCTTGTGGAAAAATCTCAGCAAAGAGGAGAGCCAATGACTTGCCCGAGAGAATGCTAAAGATGTTATTGCTACAGTTTTTATATTGCCGAGACTTTTATTTTCTGATTTCTCTGATTTTGATTTGTGGGCGGCTGAGTGAGACATGAGTGCAGCTTTGTCCTGATGATATATTCTCAAGTATGCTTTCACGAATTTAAGATGTTTTATCCAATTTTATATCATCTACGGTTTTAGGAATTTCATTGGTATGAATCTATATATATTCTGGAATCTTGCTGCCAATGAGGAACTGATTTTGACCAAAAAATTGACAATGCTTAAATGATGTTCAATCATCTGGGAGCATCTTGGAAATTGAAATGACAACAAAAAGACTGTTGCACTTTCCTCATCATTAGTAGTTCTTGACATCTCAAGTGCAATTTGCGGTTGGTTGATCTTTATGGAATGTGTAAAGATGAAAATCATAGGTGTAGGAAATCCATTTAGTTTATTATACAATTCCTCTGTATTCAATTTTTTTCTTTTAGAAAAAGAATTTGGTTGCTGGATGATTAAGCTTGTTCCATTACAGCCTTTCCTGCTCTGGTTGTCATGTTGAGCCTCTGAAAGGTTTCATTTAGCTATAATTATCTTTGTATTTCCCTTTGATCTGGTTGTTGGTATTCTTCAAGTTATCCACTTGCTAATTTTGGTGCAAAAGTTTTTCCATATCAGCAAAATTTCCACCGCAATCTGATTCTTCTTAATTTGTCCGGAACACTGAACTTAACGTGTACAAGCATGTGTGTGTGTGTGTGTCGGGGCAGAAAGCGTGGTAAAAAAGCAATTTGCGTGTAACAGATTTATCCCTCATGTTAAAAAATGGAAAAGTTGCTTTTCTAGATTCCTTTATGTTTGATCCTGATGGAAATTTGGAAGTTATTATGTAGGCTTCATTTCTTCATACAGGCTGTTCCGTCATTTTCCAGTTCATTCCTCTCCTTTTTGGGGGCAAAGCGAACCTCCGTTGCTTGATTCCTTGTCCAAAGACCAGGTTTGTTTGTTATAAAGCATTTAGGTGCAAGTTATCAATTTTATTGCAAACTGAATTTTCTTATATGACACAATATATTAATATCGGATTAGATCTACTTTTTTCTTGTAAACTTCTTGTATTGGATATCATTATGTTACAGTTACCTTAGGGGTGGCAATAGCATTTGGGCAGAGTGAACAAAATGCAATATTTAGTTATCTACAATACAAATAAGCCAGGTCACAGTGAGGGTGGTATAAGGTATTATCTATAATTCTTTTGGTATTTCCGTGCTCCTAGCTAATATCAGGTAACAGATAATGTGCTTGTGTGCTTAGCGAAGTTCTGATTCGATATTCTCTTTGTACTATACATTATGTACTGTTTTCAAATCAGTAAAAATAAATATGAACTTTGTTGATCATGGTTTATTCTTATTTATGGATGCTAAAGGTGCTAACTTTGTTGTGGTTACTGGTAGTGACTTTAATTTATTTTAAGATTATTAAAATTCATGTAATGATAAAAAAAATAGGGACATTTTGTTGTTTGGATTGGAGGTAATTTGATTTATTTTTAAATCATGTCCAATCCAAAAAAAAATGTCTTTATTCTTTTAAAAAGAAATTCACTTTCTAAACCGAATCTAACTTAAATGAGGTTTAGTTTTTCACAAATGTAAGAGACGTGTTAGAAGGAGGATACTATAAGGAAAGAAATATTACAATTAGTAATTGGAAAAACTTGCTTACAAGTGAAGATGGCTCTCCTTATTTCTGTAAGAGGAATTAATACACAATCAAACATATTACAACATAACTACGTTGGTTCTTCCAAAACCTTATTGAAAATGACTAAACTCAAGCCTATATATCAAAGCTAATACTACCTGTATGACTCTGATAAATTCAATCCACACTTTAAAAATATATTTTGATGTAACAACTTAGTTGTTCCTTTTGATCAACACTTGACTAATCAAATTTTCCAAGTTGATGTAAGAAGAACCACCAGATTTAATTGCCTCCTTTGAAGTTTTTTGCCACACTAGGATCTTGTGTCTCATTTCCATCCCTTTCTCACCTTCCATCAACTCATTCACAAGATTCTCCACCACTTGCCTCTTCACGTTATTATCAATCTCAATCCCAATCCCCCACTCCGTGCAAGCATACCTGCAGTTAGTTTGCTGGTCTCCATAGAAAGGCCAACAAGCCATCGGAATCCCAGCACACACACTCTCTATCATGGAGTTCCATCCACAATGTGTTAAAAACCCTCCAATTGAAGGATGATTTAACACTTCCTCTTGTTCACACCAATTGGCTATGAGGCCTCTTTCTTTGGTCTCACTCAAAAACTCAGGAGATAGAATCATTGAGCCACCCTTCACAAGATCAGGCCTTATGATCCACAGGAAGTATTTCTTGCTGTTGGCTAATCCCCAAGCAAACTCATGTAGTTGTTCTGGAGTCATAACCGTGACGCTTCCAAAATTAACATAAATTACGGATTTAGCTTTCTTGGATTCTAGCCATTGGATGCAATGAGTCTCCTCCTTCCAAAGATTGGAGCCAATGGAATCTAAGTCATGGTTCTGTGGAATTTGATTTAAAAGCAATGGGACAGGGCCTACGGTATAAATAGGAGGAAAGATAGAAGAGAGAGTATCCAATGCCTCACTCGCGAACTCGCTGAATGTGTTGAAAATGATGGCTTGAGAGCAGCTCTTGCTGTTTGCTGCTCATTGATAACAAAGTTTAGCATTAGGTAATCATTTGCATAGCTTTGAAGATCTCTCAATCTAATATTTTTCATTCCTGAAAGCCAATCTAGTTTTGTATCCAAGTATTCATCTGTCAGTTGGCTCTCATCTGCGGCAATAATGGAATAACAAAATGTTGTTGAAGATTCATCATTTTAATGAATAGACCAAAGAAAAGACACATGAACCCCACACACACAAGACAACGAGTAACATTAATGGGTTATACACACACAAAAATAAAGCAATTAGGGGAAAAAATAAGAAGAATTAAGGACATCAATGGATTACGTACCTTTCAAGGGAATGATACCCTTATCAAGAAGAGTGCGAGCATGCCAACCAGCCAAATAAGAAATAGCACTTATAGGGCAATACAAAGCAATAGGAAGTCCACATTCTTGAGCAGCTTTAACGGTAAATGTCATGACAGCATCGGAAATCAAGGAAGTAACAGGAGGCACAAGGCCATTAGAGGCAGACTCTTGAAGCCTCTTGAGAAGATTTGTAAAATAGGGGAGGCAATTCTTTGAGGTAGATTCACATAAAGAAGGTAAATCCTGGGTAGTGTTTGCTTCAGTATGAGGAAGGCCATCGGGGATGCTTTCAAAGCGAAAATCTGAGAGGCCATTAAGAGCTCGAGGACCCCTTGAGTTGAGCAAGCGTCTATGGTTGTACTCAGTGTTAACGTATGTTATGTGAAGGCCTCTCGAATGAAGCAGTTTGGCTAAATTCAAGAAGGTGTTCAAATGGCTTTGAATTGGAAAGGGAGTGATCACAACGTGGGGCTTTGATCCTCCTCTTTCCATAGAATCCATCTGTCTGCGGCTCTGTGTGTGTGTGTGTGTGTATTGCAAGACTCTGTTTTTAGAAGCAGATGCAATGTAATGCGGTCGGTTTGTAGTACTGGGTCACGTTATATATGTATAAAACTCTGAGACTTTCTTGAAAATCAACATGTTGGCCAAGTTGGCCAAGTTGGCTTTATCTTAAGGATTGGTCTTCATTGGATTGTGTTGTTTGACTTCTTTTAGACATGAATTGGGTTACAGGATTAGAGTGACAATTAGTGTCTCAGTCAATGTTGGAGAGCCGTGAATTTCTTGGAGGGCAGGTTAGAGCAGCAGGTGAACTTAGGATTCTCATTTCACAATTTTCAGTTATTTTTTTCACAGGGAAAAAAATTAGCCCATGCTTGGCTGGCTAAGCGCCCGTTTGGATTCAGGGATTAATTGATTTTAGAGGAAAAAATCAATTAATCCATAATTTATCCAAACACCAACCTTTTTCCGAAATTAATTTTTTCCCACAAAATCAATTTTTTCCCAAAGCTCCAAGTTTCAGCTTCTCAGCTTCTGCGTGTTTTTGTTGCAAAGTTATATGAAAAAAATTACATAAAAGGTCTAAGAAAAAAAATCACAAAAAAGGCACAAAATTTAATAAAAAAAACAAAACTTTCTTCTTTTTTTTTCTTAGTAAAATTTAGATTTTTAAAAAAATTACTAGTATAAGCATCCAAATAGATTACATTATAATATAATCAATTATAATTAAAATTTATTATTTAATTAATTATTTTTATAATCTATTATATCTAACTGAAATTCAAATAAATACTAAATGGATTATATATTGTTGAACGTGTATGACTTTAATTATTAAATTAAATATAATTAAATCTTCCAATTTCTTTTTATTTTGTTTCTGGTTTTTGTTATAAAAATTTTATATTAACCTTTTAAAAATATTTTAATGAATTTTTATATAAAAAGTTTTAATTGAAAATGATTTAATATAATAAGATGAAATATCAGAATATATAATATTAATATAATTATACTAAACAGTAAATTAGAATATATTTTAATTTAAATTTATGGCGATGATTGTATTGTCTAAATTAAAATAGAAAAATACCAAAATGAGCAAGTTAAAAGAAATAAAAATAAACATATTCATTTTCAACCTATTTTTGTTATTTTAGTCATAGGTGGGTGGCTGCTCTGTCTGCACATTTTGTTTCTTGTTTAAAATTAAAAATACCCATATTTATCTTCTAAAATATTAAAATATATAACACACACTAATATCTGTGTTCTAAAATTTTAAAAATTATCGTAAATATGAAGATAATTTCTAAATTTTAAAAAAAATCTAAATTTGATCCTTTGAAATAATGTTCCCATCATTCTTATTTGATTATCCATACATATATGAATGTGTGCGAGTGCTGTTTATGCTTCCAACACATTGGTTTATTGTTTGGATTATTCTAAAAGGTTCTCAATTTTATTGATTAACCGTTTAAGTGTTAAAATTTTTGGTTAACAGGTTGATTTACTTTTTATATTTTTTCTGTTTGGATGGATTTTAAAAAAATAATAATAAGGAAGGAGGAAAACTAGTAGAAAACTCTTTTTACTGTGTTTAAAATTTTTTCTTAATTTTCTCTCCTTCATATTTTCTTCTCATTTTTTTCTTAAATTAATATACAATTTAAACTCTGAATTATAGGTTTAAGGATGATTTAAATTTTAAAATTTTATTTGGTACATTCTTAATTTTAAATAATTAAAATTGGAATAATTTCATTTCCGTCATTAAATTTAGAGAAACAGCTATTACTTTTTTTTTAAAGAATAGGGCTTAATGTGTAATTTTTATTAAATTTTACTCTCCCTTTCTCTCTCTCTCCTACCCTCCTTTGTGAAAAATTACACATTGAACCTCATTTTTTATTAAAATAACGGTCATTTGTTTAAATTTAACAGCATAGTAAAGTTATCTTAACTTTAATTGTTTATGGTTTATAATATAACAAATAAAAGCTTGGGGTTCAAATTGTCTTTGGATTTGTAGTTCGAGATTCAAATTGCATATTATTACGCCTTCTATCCCAATATATAAAATATTTTTAACCAAATCATGCAAACCAATAGAAATTGATTATTTAATTAAAAGTACAACAACATTTCAATTTTATCACTAATTATTATAAATAAAAAATAATTTTTTTAAAGTAAATTAATGAGAGTATTTCTTTTATTTCTATATATAAGAGAAAAAACTGTATCACACAGTTTAAAAAAAGTTAATTAACTATAGTAATTATATCTGAAAATAAAAAAATTAAACTAAAATATCCTATGTTAATTAATATAAGTATGCATTAATTATTTTTCATTAATATAAATTATGAGAAATGATTTAGGAAATATATAATAAATATTTATTAAAATATGTGGTTTTGTTTATATATAAAAAAATGAAGGGAGTACTTATCTTTTGTTGAATTGTGTTCTTTCGAACAGGAAGAACTGTAAGGGCATGTCGAAGCTGTCAGGAAAAATTGGACCAAAAAGACTTTAGGCTCAATTATTTGAATTATAAGTCTCAAATGAAGAAATAAACTTACAGGGACCATGGTCCTGAAACAACAATATGTTTTCAGATAAAATAACAAAATGCCCTTCTTGTTTTGCATTGATATGTTGAACTCATCCATAAATTTATAATAATCTATACTCTGGAGACTATTGCACAAAAAAAAAAGGAAGGGTATTTTGAAAATTTCCGTGAAAAGTATGTTATCCCTCAAGAACCATGGTTCTTTACAGGGTTAATTTCTAATTTTGAGATTTATATTTAAATATTTGATT